GTTTCACTCCAAAAAAAAAAAAAATTTCTGCCACTTTATTCTTCTTGTTAACCTAGTAAAATGGCACAAAAACACATCAAATTATGTGTAACAAAAATACCAAACTATGCATAACCAATAACTTTTGTCTTTTCAATTCATTTAGTTTTTCATACTTTTAATTTAGTTTCAAATTTTTATTCAACTAATAATAAAGGGAATTCCTAATGACGGTGATTTTAAAAAATACCCGTGTTTATATGAGTTGTTTAATAGTTCTTGAATAAAATACTAAATTTGTGATTTGGAGTTGTCTATTATTTTTGAGTTTGTTTATTACTTTATATGTGAACTTTTACAATTTAAACAAAATTAAAGTTTTTGTTAGAAATAAAAGATTAAGATTTTGTGGTTAACCAAGTAGAGGTCTCCCTAATAGTAATATAAAATGATCATTTAACTATGCCTCGACAATACTTTTGAAATCCAAATTATTAGAGAATCCAAACTACAGGCATTTGTGTCTTTTTCGACAATAATAAGGGTGAAATTTCTTGAGTTTTTCTTTTTCTTTGGAGTGCCAATATCATTCGCAATAATAATAATAATCATAATAAATTTATAACAAATTAAAATATGAAAGATAAATGCGTAAATGTGCAAATGATAGTAATACGCAAATGAAGTCATCTTGTATCACTCACTGGCATTAATCTTATAAACTTGCGCCGGCCGGTGGCTATCGCATTTCTACAGATCTGTCGTTTCCAGCTTTGCTTTCAGGCACCTCTTCCTTCCACCTCCATTTCAGAGCTGCTCATCTATGGTGCCGTCGCAACTTTACCATGGTAGGAAGACCTCCATTCAGAGCTGCTTTCTTGTTTGTTGCTCATCTGCGGTGCCGTCGCAACTTTACCCAATTTTAGGAGACCTCCATTTCGGGGCTGCTTTCTTTACTTCCTACCATAGAATTTCCCCACACTCATGCTGCTTCATTTTCTAGTACTGAAAAGCCCGGAAATCAAAGGTGCGTCTTTTCACCATAATTCAACACACCACTTCAATGAGAAGTCGTTTATATAGTAGGTAATTGCGTTTTGTACAAAAAATTTTGGAATTTAAGTGGGAAATCTACCCTATAAGACCCCTGTGAAGCCATTCTCTGAAAAAAAAATTCTATCAGATACTGATCAAGTTTGCTTACCACGAACTATATATCCTTCTTTTTTCAAGAAGAGATGATAAGAAATTAGATTTATAGTTTTCAAGCGTAATTAAACTCCACATGCAACACAAAGGCCTAAAAATCAACGTATAAACTTCTCAAGAACAGTGTATTTCTCTTTGAGGCTTACTTGCTGGCATCAATCTCAAAAATTCTGGCTGTAGGGCTCAGCTATCTTCCTAGGTCCTCCAGTTATTGCATTTGATTGTGCAATGAGAAGCAGTTTGATTGGCACATGAAGGCATTTCTCTTCAAACATGACTGCACCCACCACACACCTAAATTTCAAGCTATAAGAAGAGACTTGATGAGTACACTCCTACTAAACGTGGATGCCAGGTTAAAGACCGGTAGCTTAACCATCATGTTCATGCATGCTGGATAACTGGACAGCGCTTTGATACATCCAAGCTTCAGCAATGCTAGACCTCTCTCTCCTTCTTTGTTAGGTAAAAGAGACAACAGTTTTTCATTCAGGATTTCCACGACCAGCAATGCAACTAAGGGAAAACGTTACAGCAAGTAAATGCAAACTTGACCTAGATTGAAATCATCGACCATATTTTGACAAATGAGACATATCCACATCAAGGCAAGGTCCAATGCACCCCAGCAATTAAGGGAACCAAAAGGCGTCAAAGATGAAGAATTGTGCCAAGTTGAAGCAACTTGACACGCTACAACAAGAACACTTGAGCAAAACTTAAATTTGATTGTGCCTCTTGGCTTGTTGAATTTTGGCAAATAACTAATGACGCGAGATATCATTTAGCGCAGGCAATCAAATAGAGGAAAAAACAGATAGGTGACCACGAGACACAGCTGAGGAAGACAAATCAAGTAAGAGACTCTGGTGAACTGTTCATCAACACGTACGTTATGCTTTGTAGCCAATGGGATCATGAAGACTTCGCCCTTCCTCCATCTTAACCCTAGATGCAAAAAATCCATAATCTAGGTTCAAAGTTATTGATCCACCTTGAAACCTCGCTCTCCTATGCTGTACATTCATCAACACTTTAGTACTTTGTTACTATGAAAATACATGAGACTTACAATTTCAAGTGAACTAAAACTGTAGAAATGTTGAAACTAGAATACTTTTTTTGCCTGTTTTTAGAGCGTGAACACTGCGTAAAAACTCTGGTAACTGAACTGCAACTTGTAAAGGGCTGCATAACATGCTCCTTAATGGAGCTAGTTCTGTCTACAGTGACCAAAACTTTTTTAACTCCGAAACTGGAGATGAACAATGCCTAGAAACTGAAAAGGATCTTCCTCTGGAAGTCGCAAACACCGAGAAGGAATTAACAAAGGCGAGGATGAGTCCCGAAGCCTATTTGGATTAAGGTATTACTAGTCAGACAGGAGGCCTGGAGATCTAGGTTGCAGTTATATTTATACCCTAGCAAAACAGCGAAGCAAAAGAAACAATAAAAAGAAGCTCAACCCATGATTTTAACAGTTAATGTCAACAGCAGTAAAGGAAAATAGATACTGCTAAAGAAAGGAGAAGACAATTCGCACCTTACACCTTAGTTAAATTAGATCTTGGTCGTCTTTTTGGAAACATGCAACAACCCGAGTCAACAAAACTCATCACAATTAATTCCTTCACCAGCATTTCTGTCTCCTCCTTCCTGAGTCCGGGCTGCTGGCAACCCTAAGAAGTATGGTGTATAAGCTGTCATTGATTTGGCTCTCCTATCTTTCTCTACCATCTTGACCCCAGGAACATTCTTTATCCTCTTAACCTGAATTTTAAAAATTTTTCTATTTGTCAATTAAAGCCAAACAAGAAATGATATATGAATGTAGCAGAAAAAATTGAGCATTGATAAACGTGTTCAGGGTTTTCCCTGAGATGGGTTGGTATGGACTGCGAATCCATTAACAATGTGTTTAAAGCTGTGCAGAGCCTTGGAGACTTCACTAGCATTTCAATCAAGAATAAAATATTTTCCAGATAAGATTTCCAAATATAGAACTTGGCAACATGGAAGATCGATTAGGAAACAACTAACTCCTCCACGTTTACTGGATCTGTAAACGAAAGGCAGTGGAGAAATTACTTCCTGTTGGGATCCAATCCCTAACCTTTCTGATCAGTCGGCATCGTACGTACTAGCTAGTATTTCCTTGATGAAATGCAACTGGCTCACCTTCCATTAGCTAGTTAGATGGATTTCCATTAGATTTTCTCTACCTTTTTGGTAGATGGATTTTCTCTACCATCGGAAAATGAGTAGTAGTCGAGTCAGAGATGAAATCCATCTAACTTCCTTGATGAAAGCCATGATTGGGCAACAATAATCAGAATGCAAATATTCATTTAGGGTTTGGTTGCCCGAATATGAATTCTCTCCTCTCTGATAAGCCATGCAAATCCAAAACTTTAACCACATTATTTGCGTGAAAAGCCTGGTTTCGCAAGCTTTTCAACTGATCTTAATGAAATCAACCGTTACTTTTTTCTGCTTTTAACTTCTTTTGTTCAAATTATGGGCAGAAAAACTGTTGCTGAGACGTTTTTTTTTTTTTTTTTTGGTCGCGTTACTGCTCCCTGTCCACGCTAACCAACCTTGCAAGTCCTATATATATATGCACAGCAATAGCAGATCCAGTTCAAGACCTTTTCCGAAAATCACTTGGCTCTTATTTCCAGAGTCGGCAAAGTAACATCATATCCTGATTAAATAATGTGCCATTTTGCTTCCATTCATTCGGTGCTCATGTAGTTGAACTTGATATACCGCGGTCTGGCCTCAATTTCATGAACCTCGAGCTCGAGTTAAGCTCAAACTCGATCTCTAACCCGGTGGAACTCACTTGTTTCGAGCCTAATCGAGATCAAATAAAATAAAAAATAATTTTCATATTTTTTATGCCGTATAAGATAAATATTTTACCTTAATAAATAATAAAAATAAGATTTTTTAAAACTTCATTAAGACACTTGAATCACACCAAAATTACCATATAAATACACACATGTTTATTGAAGTCCCTGACTTATGATACTTTTCCAAATTAATGACACTATTTTCAGAGAACGAACATCTAAGCCCCCCTTTATCGGGCAGCTTAGCCGAACTAATAAAGATATCGAGAACACATTTTTTCATGATTAACAACAAAAATGAATAACAATTACGTAAAGCAACTACTAGTAATTACACCGTCGTCATGTAAAAATGAAACGAATCAAAATTCTGATGATCTTCCATGCACCAGCAGAAGCATCTACAGATGCAGGAGTTAATTATTCGTGAAGCAAAAACATAATTGAGTTGAAAGCGGCCATCCATCCTCCAATCAATGATGCCAGTGGTAGAGTTAGAACCCTAGGGTTCGGAGGATTCAATTTCTGACACCGCATCAAATGTAGTTACAGTAAATTTACAATTAAATGGCGTTTATGTTAAACATATCTTTCTAGCGTTATGTCAATTATGCTTTGGCGTCTAAATTGTACCATAATGTGTGGTGGTTTAGAAACGTCAAAAGAGTTTGTCATCAGATTTACCTCAATAACTAGCTTTAATTAAATCGAATATTCTCATGAAATGTCAGAATTAAGAATTTTTAGATTATTAAGGGAGAACAATGAAAATAAGAAGGAAATATTAAAAATGTTTAGAAGGGGTAATACAGATAAGAAAAAGAATTTCATAAAATATTGGGAGCAAAATGGATAAGAATGGGGAAACTGCCTACCCTCAGTTTGCTTCTGGCTCCGCCCCTGATATTATGACAGTAAAAATCCAAATTCTTCTGAGCATATCAAAACCAAAGATAGTAGTAAAACGATCTTCAAATGCAAATTTAGCCTTTCCAAATAAAGTAAAAGCCCAAATTCTTTGCTTGACGACATCGAAAATTCAAAACCAACAAAGTTAATTTATCTAAAATTTGGCTTCACATTTGCAACAGCAGAAGCTCATTCGGAGCATATCACAAGCTTCAAAGCCATCTACTAATATCCATACAATTTACCCATTCAGGAGATGACAAAATATATCCACCGCAGCTATACAACATCACAACAACACCAGAATAATGAAAATTGACAATCTCTCCAACAGCATCGTTGTGCTCCCCAGCTTACTTCTTCTGCCGCTTTGTTTCCAACTGTAAGAACCACGGGCTTTTATTAAAATTTAAATGAGATCAAGAATAAATATTATATCACTTAGATGTTGGATAAGAAGGGATGAAAAGATAAATGTAATTACTCCTACCACATGGGTTTCAATACCAACAGGAGGAAAAACTTTCCTATGATAGCAGTTGGCATGCAAAACACCCTTGTGACAAAAGAAATCATACATTGGAGTAATGTTGTGATAGTTGCTAGAACTTTTCTTGGCACAGCCCTAAACAAACTGAGGCATATGACATCCCTTTTTCTCTCTGACACTACAATTCACACTTCAGTAAATACCGTGCAGCAACTATGCAAGAATTTATATGAGAGAGAGAGAGAGAGAGATCCTTGGCCCATAAAAGCCATAATGGGTGATAAAATACAACTGCTCAAGGCAACAGGACAAAAGAAATCACGCTAACCAAACAGACCCAATTTCAGCAGTTCAATTATAGGGAGAGGCCGAGACCTCCAGCATCAAGCTACTTCCAGACAGTTGCTGTCATACACACAAGAAAACATATTGAATATGAACAAACTCTAAGCTGAAGGTTTTGCAACAGTCGGATTCACTGTCAAAAAGTAAGGTGAGACGTAATCCAAGGACCAAACACTAAGGATCAAGCACTCAAAATGACAGCAATTCTTTATTTATATTCATGCAAAATATACTAACACATAAAGCAATCACATACGTGTAGCAAACATCTTAAAGACTAGTCACAACATATGGTAATCAACACCAGTCTTAATAGTAATCACAAATTGCTACATGATGCCTTTTCTGTCAACAGTAGAGAGTCTTCTCTTTCCATGTTTACATCTAAAGGCTATGGCACCAGAAGTAAAAACTAGTATGAGTTAAGGTCAGATAAAAAGTAGATGCTTTATGTATTGTCAATAAACAAAGATCCCGGGGCAGAGCAAACATATGATTTGGCCCTGCAGAATTTATATCTGTATACACAAGCATGAGTGTAGGCCTGCAGAACTTGTCTTCTACTTTGAAAGCTAAGCAGCCATTCCAACATTTTCTTTCCCCTTGCCAATTGACCAAATATACTTGTGTTTTCCTGGGTAAAGTCCATCTATGGCAAAAGAAAAATGGTAACAATGCTAACCCTTCCCATGAAGATGGGGACTAGAACCTATTCTTAAAGGTCAATGTCCATGATTATATATGCTGAAGTAATCACATAATAACTGCCCATAAAACAAAACACTATAACGTGGAAAATTGTAAAAGAGCATAAATCTTTGACAGTAAAATGGCAAGTATACACAAATCGTTGACAAATTTCACCCCACCAAAAAATCAATGGTGCTTCATGGAAATAAAACTAAAAAAAAATGATTTTATTCGATTAGAAGTCACCTGCAAGCGTGCATCAACCTGCGACTGGTAGTACCAGAAAATTTTCAATATGCTGACCAATCAATGGATATTCAACAAATGTACATGTCACACCAAACAGTTAGTGATATATATATATATATATATATATATATATATAATATATATATGCAGCTTAAAATACAGCCGCAATTGTTTTTATAACCACTTTATGCAAATGTTAAACTAATGTTGCATTCAAGCTATTCCTGCAGGAAAAATTGTAGACAAAGAACTGTAATTGGGCAAAATCTGCAATTAATGAGCCTCACCTTTCCATTCATTACTGGAGATTCAGTTAATTTGGTCGGAGGCTTTTTCACATCAACAGATGCACAATCAGAACAAACAAACAGGTCCAATTGCTTCGCCTGTTCAATACTCATCCCAGAACAAGCAGGATGATACCTATCATGGCATCAGATATTGTTGCTCAGAAAATTAAGACTGGAGAGATTACAAGGTAGAAAAGAAACCCAAGAACAAACTAAACAAATACTTGAGTATAGGCTTATTTATTCCCACACTTAATTTTTATTGTTCATTTTTTCTTCCCTTTGAGGTGGAAGGGGAGTTTATCGCCCAAAAAAGGGAACTAATCATGAAAGAGAATCATAGGAAGTATTGCCTTCCAGAAATAGAACAATGCTTCAAAAATTTTATCTTCTTAACAATCCACATCTTGCACATATGAAAACTCAAGGTATATCATTACCAAAGGATAGCATTCTTCAAACATCATTTAGTTCCTGCTTTTCACTGAAAGGGGATAAAAAATGCTATGCCTATATCTTAACGCCCTTGCAAAACAGACAGTTAACAAAACCTTTCTCCCTTCTTTTCCCTACACTACAACTAGATCTTGAGGATGGGAAGTCTTTTAAGTGGCAGAAAGCATTTTTTTTCT